AACTACATCTGGAACAATGATGATTTAGAAAAATAATGATCATGTTGGGCTTTGCAAGCTACCTGTCACCTTGCTGATCCCCAGAAAAATGTAAAGAACATTCTCATGGATGAGTGAAAGTTTTCTCTGCCTAGGTAGGGAGGAGGTTAGAATCAGCACGCCTTCGTTGTCAGCTTACACTAGCGGACCACTTTGCAGAAGGTCAGTGCAGACCTGACAAGAGCAATTTACCGGCTTTGGAACTGGGAGGTCTGTTTGTTGACAGTGCAACTCTTGCTCTTAAGATAAGGAAACTCAGGTTGAAGTACAGTAAATAGACAAAAGAATGGTTCCAGTCCATTGGATACCTCTCTGAGCCTTTATTTTGAGAGTGGGCAAGAGGGGAGATGAATGTTCTTTAGCTGAGCAAGACATCAGCCCTGGGCCAGCCTTTAATAAATGAGAAGTAATAACAATATCCTGGCCTGAAAATACCATCAAGCCCAAGCACATGTACAGTCACGTTGGCTGTCCCAGCAGAGAGAGGCCTGCTGTAGGTCTTGTAGAGTCAATGTAAGATTCTTTAACAAGTTAATAAGGCCAAGAAATGCCGATGTGAAGTTAGATTTTTCTGACTTTAAAGCTACCTTCTTTGAAAAAGAAATATGATACCTGATGTTTTCAAGCTTTGTAATGACTCCTATAAAAAGGCAAGTGGTTGTGACAATTGAAAACATCTCTTGAAATTCACATTGGCAGCTGGGAGCAGAGCTGGACATGAGGTATGGACAGCTGAGCAATGGCCTGAGGCTCAGGGCCTCCAGATGCCTTAGAAGTCAGTGCTGGGAGGGGGCAGGGATGCAGCAGCAGCAGCAGGAGGCTGGAGGTTACCCACCAGAGCTGAAAAAGCCACACTCCACCATTGCCAAACTCAGCTGGTCTCTTGGCAATAGTTACCTGGCTCTTTCCCTCTCACTTCTCTTCCCATGATCAGGCCATGTGCAGATTAAATTGCCATTTTTGGTAGATCTTCTGGGATGCTGTGTCCAATCTAGTGACACCCATCATAAGGCAGAGCAGATAGGCAGTGTTCTATGTCAGGGGTGCTTGTACCTCTGCTCCCATCCTGAAGCAACTGTGGTCCAGTAACAGGTCAGGGTCCCCATCCCCGAGGGGCACAGAGCCAGAGCCAAGTGTGATCATGGCTCCACGGGTGCTTGTGCTTGAGTTTAAGCCATTTAAGGGGATAAACTTGTCTCTCCTTTTCTTTTCTTTTTAATATTTGTTTATTTAGCCACTCTGGGTCTTAGCTTTTGGCACGTGGATCTTTGTTTCGGCACGCGGGATCTTTAGTTGTGGCCTGTGAACTCTTCAGGTGTGACCTGTAGGATCCAGTTCCCTGACCAGAGTTTGAACCTGGGCCCCCTGCACTGGGAACGCAGAGTCTTAGCCCCTGGGCCACAGGGAAGTCCCTAACTGGTCTCTTAAGGCAAGGTGTTAATGCTTTCAGAGTGACTGTCCAGGACGCTGTAACTAGAATGCACCTTGACAAAGGGTGTTCAGAGAATACAAAGATCAGTTGGCACCACAAAGCAAATGAACAGGCATGATCTTGGGCTTAGAAAACTTCCATTTCTAACAAGATTTTTTATTGAGAGGGAATTCATAAGGGGATTTGACCTGAATGGAGTCTCTCATTGTTTTATTTTGGGTAACCCGTGCCGTATATTCCCTTAAAAGCCTGGATAATCAAGAGTTTAGTATCTTTTAGAGTCATGAAACATTGATCCTTTACCAAGTGCTAGAAAAAATGAGTTTGAAATTATCTTCACCTTTTAAAAAACTTGGAGAATTTCCCCCAAAGAATGGAGATTTTCTCTTTCATAAGTAAAAGCCGGTAAAAATATTTCACTCTTATTTTGCCCTCCACAGTGGCTTCACCTACTGCTGCTTGAGAAGGTTGCCATAGTTTCTCTTACAAATTAGGGCAATTTATGCAGCAAGAGGCAATTTATGAAGAAGGGAACATGGACATGCCTTGTCCCCTTGTTCCCTTGTTCCTTATCATGAAGGATACATTTCAGCATAAAAAGAAAGTCAGATCTAAACATGCCATGGATAAACAAACAATAAATGAACATCCCCTCAAGATATTATAATTGCTTAGAATCTACCAAGTTAATTTGGAGACAAACTAGTTTCATTTAAGAGATAAAGTGCCTAACTCTTGAAGACTTTGAGTGTGTTTCTGTTTGTAGGAGCATCAGGGTAATGACTGGTATTTCTCTGGATCCCTTTACATCTTTTGGTCTCAGTTTTTCCAGATACAGGCTGAGGGGAGCTAAAATGTCCTCCAAAATCCTTTCCATGTCTAACTATATCCATTGATTTATGACTTCACAATTTATCCAGCAGGAAGAGAGGTGCTGATGGTTTGGGGGCCCCTGAGAAAGATTCTGTATCTTTCCACATAAGCATCAGTGTAACCAAGACTGAGTCTCACTGCTCCGCCTCCCAGGAGACCCCCAGGCCCACATTGGAACCACAACACTCCACTCCTTCCCTCTGAATCCATAGAATAAAAAGAAGGAATAGCCACTTTGGAAAAATTAGACAGTAAAGCGTCTGCCTACAATGCGGGAGACCTGGGTTCCATCCCTGGGTTGGGAAGATCCTCTGCAGAAGGAAATGGCAACCCACTCCAGTACTCTTGCCTGGAAAAATCCCATGGACAGAGGAGCGTGGTAGACTATAGTCCATGGGGTCACAAAGAGTCAGACACGACTAAGCAACTTCACTCTTTTTTAGGATTTGGCAGTGAGGGCAAAGAGATAAATCCTGTCATTTTTGAGAAGGGTGATTGCAGCCATGAAATTAAAAGATGCTTACTCCTTGGAAGAAAAGCTATGACCAACCTAGACAGCATATTAAAAAGCAGAGATATCACTTTGTCAACAAAGGTCCATCTAATCAAGGCTATGGTTTTTCCAGTGGTCATGTATGGATGTGAGAGTTGGACTCTAAAGAAAGCTGAGTGCTGAAGAATTGATGGTTTTGAACTGTGGTGTTGGAGAAGACTCTTGAGAGTCCCTTGGACTGCAAGGAGACCCAACCAGTCCATCCTACAGGAGATCAGTCCTGGGTGTTCATTGGAAGGACTGATGTTGAAGCTGAAACTCCCAATACTTTGGCCACCTGATGCGAAGAGCAGACTCATTTGAAAAGACCATGATGCTGGTAAATATTGAGGGCAGGAGGAGAAGGGGACGACAGAGTATGAGATGGTTGGACCGCATCACCGAATCAATGGACATGGGTTTGGGTGGACTCCGGGAGTTGGTGATGGACAGGGAGGCCTGGCGTGCTGTGGTTCATGGGGTCACGAAGAGTTAGATATGACTGAGCAACTGAACTGAAACTGAAGGGGCAAATATCATTGTGACAGAGGACTCCATAAGGTTGATATCTATAAGCCTTGGTCTAAATATCCTGCTCTAAAGCAAGGATCAAGAACATGAAAGCCAAAATATCCAAGGATGAGCAGCATCAGTGATTTGACACAGGATGCCTGAAGGGAATAATCCTGTTAGTTAGTGTAGCTATGTGAAGAGATCACATTTAGATCTAGAACCTAATTGGACAGGGCAGAAGGAGTACCTTCATGTATTTCACCTTTCCTTCATCTGATACATTAAGTAGGGCAGGCAGCCTCTCCATTCCCCTGGATGTCAATTTTTGGTTTAGGGCAGAAGCTGGCCATAATTTGCTTATTGATGTTTCCATAATTACAGCTGGGTCTCTTAACTATAGTCTCCAAGTTACAATTTGTTTGCAATATAATACACTAGAGTTACCAACTTCATAAGCAAAGTTACGTGTCATTTGCTTTAGGTTAGGGTATCTTGTTGTCGTATAAGCATTAAATGACACAATTAAATATGACAGGTCTTAACAGTGTGCTTGAAGGGACATGAGTACTAGCTGATGCTCCCTTGTGTACGTGGCCAACTTTTAGGCGTCTGCTTATGGTAGAGGCTGTCTGGGCATGACTTTGATTTGGAAACCTCTCTGTCAGCATTTTGGTTCCCGGGTCTTATCATTTCAAAAGTGTTCATTCTCAAAGCCATTTCAGTTTCAAAATTCCATGGGCCACAGGCATCACACCAAGTAGGAATTTTATTCCCCACTTTCCCCCTTATTTGTACAGATACGTTTTCTAACCTTCCACTCTCTATGCTACTTTCCTCCATCTTCACCCAGTAGTTACAGAATACTGCCAGATCATCAGTCTCCTTTTTAATTCTCTTCAAATCTCATTCCCTAAAAGGTTCTTTGTATTGAGCAAACAATAATGCAAAGCAGTCACTTTCTGAGGCTTTTGCTATTGCACAGATTCCAAACTGTACCAACGGACAACAGACCCACCTTGTCACATCAGATTTTAATATGGCAACAAATGCCTTGAAATACATGCATTTGAAACCTGAAGTTTATTGAAAGCCATTTTTCTCCAGCCAATTACCGATTACCCCAGAGATAGCAGGCTGTAAAAATCACTTCATCAGGCAAAAGCCTTGCTTGGTCTTTTTAAGAATTAAAGTTAAATCAGTGGGTATTGATCCTGCTTTCTTTACTTTACCCTCCAGAGAGAAGTATAGAATTTCTTAACTGTGAACATTTGTTGAAAAACACAGAGGAAGCTCATTTGAGACACTTTTTCTCTCTGGTCATCTGCTCTAGAAAGAGGAAATGTCTAGGGGGCTGGGAACAGTGACCTGGCCCCTCCGCTCCTCTAACAACCTGTTGTGACCAGGAAGAGACATGTCCCAGGATGCCAGAAGTCAGAGAAAATAGGCAGATTTAGTGTGCAGCATGTGGCTCCAGTCCTGAGCCCCCAGGGAGGGGGAAGGGGCTTCTGTGCCTCAGGAAGTATCTCCCAGAGAGAACCCAAAGGCCCAGCGTCCTTGCAGATCCAATGGAATCCTTGCGGGAGGTAAGATGGATGGTAGCCTCCTCTGGGGTCATGTTGGAGCCGCCCAGTCGGGGCTCTTCGGGGCCTTGCACGTGTGCACGTCCAGGGCCTCCACGCAGTCCTGGCAGCGCACGGCACAGCACCAGTGGAACTTACACTCGCACTTGGTCTTCCGGGTGATGTGGGAGGTATCGTAGCCTCTGCCACAGCACATGACTTCGCAGCTGTCCATGCCCCGGGAAGTCAGGTTGCACACACGGCCCGCTGTACCCAGGGAGCCTGGAAGACAAGTCAGGCCATGTTACTGAATTGGCGGGGGTGGAATACAGCATGCTTCTGAAGGAAGGGTTCCGAGATCATCCTCCAGGACTGGGCCCTGATGCCACCTCACTACAGCCCAGGGCTGGACCACGCAGCACGTGTCAGCCTCGGGGGCAGTGGGAGCGGCGGCCACATCCAGGAAGGATGGACATGAAGCCCTAGGGCTCTTCTGAGCATCCTGACTCCAGCACTCCCACTGTAAGTTGGATGAACTTTTCTGCTTACCCCTAGCCAGCCTTGGACTGATGGGTCACTGAATGGCCAAGGCCAGATCAGAATGAAAGAAGGACCTGTTCTGATCCTCCCTGACCTTAGACTGCACTAAGGAAGCAGTGGCCAAAGTTAGCTCTCTTGGAATCTGTCAGGGTATGGAACTCTTGCAAGGGAGGAGATTCTGCCTCCCTGGACCTGATTACACTGGCTTATAAGAAAGATTAGAGAGCTCTGCTTGCTGAAGGGGATGTGTGGACACCATTTGTATAAGGCCTTGAGGAGGGAGCCATGCTCAGCCTGGTTTATCTTTTGTGCTTTGGTCTAGTGGGCCATTGAGATGTGTGTGAGACACCTGGTTGAGGACAGGATTCTAGGTCTTTGATAAACAAAACTGGCATTGCCAAAAATGGCAATTCATATTTACGTATTTGTTTCTCCAAGAATTTCAAAGATAGGAAGCCTCTTAATTGTTCTTTTCCTGGGGAAGCACTCAGAATTCTTTTACAAGAGTGTTATCAGACAGCAGAACCAAGTGTAGTGGACATTTTTAGAGGCTGCTCAGCTTATAGTGATCCTTTGTGCACAGAGCAGGGAGCCTGGCAGCAATAGTAAACGACATGACTCTTCTCTGGTAGCGGGAGGTGACTGGGCCAGGGGTGGGCACTGACTTGAACTGGGCCACTCAGGTAGATTTCCCTGAGGATTTGTGCTTCTGATGGAGACAGTACAAACTCCAGTATAAACTCAGTAGCCGTTGGCAGCTGTGTACCATGATGTGGTCTGTGGATGAGAAGACATCACAGAGACAAGACGAGACAGATGTCCAGAGACAGTGAGGACAAGACATGGAATGAGAATGTTGCCCAGATGCTGGACTGTTTTCTGGACATTTCTCTCTGAGGTCTGGTTGCATTCCAACATTTGGATTCCTAGACACCCTGTATCCTTATAATAAATTTCCCATTTTAGCTTAAACCACTCAAGTTTCTATTACTTGTGATTGACAATCCTAAATAATCTACAAACCTAGAGAAGCTAAACTCTTTACTGAAAAACTAAAAACAAACAAACAAACAAAAAAAACTTTTATCAGGATGAAAAAGACAGTGACTTCATTTTCCGTTCCTCCATTATTTAACTAGGAATTTCTCCCTCTTTATAACTCCTCCAGTGCCTTGTGACTCTTTATCACATTCCGCCCTGTGTTCCAATTATCTATATAAATGTCATGTTGCCCTGCGTGTCCAGAATGACCAGGGAAGCAGCCAGGATCAAGCGGAGCATGGGGTCAAGAAGAAGAGTAGGAGGGGCAGGACTTGCTCTGCGTGATCAGGCCACTGACCGCAGGAAGACAGGCAGGGGGATTTCATAAGGACAGGAAGGATGGCAAAGGGCTGGGGTCAGGGTGGCGGGTGGGTCAGCCAGGGATGGCTCGAAGCCTCCATCATGCTGAAGAAGCAAAGGGTTAGAAGAGACAACAGCTGGGCCCAGATTCGGGGCAACCATCAGGACAGTACTCAGAATTACTGTGCAGAAAGGACTCACTGCCACATGCTGCCTCTTAACAGCATACCCATTTATTTAATTCAGTAAATATTTAGTGAATGCAAATGTGTAAGACATTGTGCGGCTACTTGGGGTTTTGGTGGTGATGATGAGGAAATAAAATAATTAGGATTTTAGTTCAGTTCTGATTCTCAGGAAACTCATAATACAAGGAAGAGATAAATATGTAAAGAGGTATTTCCACTGCTTCAAGATAACTGCTCCATTTGCTGAAGACTTTCTATAGCCAACGGTAGGGTTTTGTGAAAATAGCACTGTAAAGCTCAAGACAATAGAGTGAGGGCTTGGACAGATCAGGGTTCAAATCCTAGCTTTACCATGTATGACTGTGTGACCTTGGGTAAATTAAGTAAGATAAATTTACTTAATCTCATTAAGCTTCAGTTTCCTCCCATGCAAAATTGGGATAAAAACAGTTCCTTCCTCAGGGGCTGTGGTGAGGATGGAATGAGATTATGCCTGGAGGTGCCTGGCATAATAAGTGCTCAATAAATGTTAACCATTCATCCACTTGGGCTCAGATGGTAAAGAAATTCCCTGCAATGCAGGAGACTGGGTTCAATCCCTGGATTGGGAAGATCCCCTGGAGAAGGGAATGCCTACCCATTCCAGTATTCTTGCCTGGAGAATCCCATGGACAGAGGAGCCTGGCAGGCTACAGTCCATGGGGTCACAAAGAGTAAGACACAGCTGAGTGACTAACACTTCACTTCATTCATTCACTTAACAAGTGTTTAACAAAAGTGCCTACTCTGTGCTAGGCCTAGTTCTGGGAGCTTGAGCTGTGTCAGTGAACAAAACAAAGATCCTGCCTGCTTTGAGGAGTTTATGTTCTAGGGAGAGTGCACGAAGCATATTATCATAATGATATTTATTAATATTAATAGTAGCAAACAGGATCAGAAAAGGAGCTGTTAATGGTTTTGTAGAGGAGGTGGCATTAGATATAAGACATGAAGGATGGATAGAAGATTGAAGGGAGAATGGGGTGACAGGCCCTTCTGGCAGGAGAGAACCTCCCAGTAGAAACTCAGAGGTCAAGTACACTAGAGACTGTAGATTCAACGTGACCGAGGCAGGTTGCGTGTTAGGCAACGAGCGAGGAAAGGGAGGTTGGAGCAACAGGTCAGAGAGTCTTCCTGCTTTGCTGCAATTGGGACTTTATTCCATGGTGGGCGGTGAGCCAGTCCAGATTTTTATTCAGAGAAAAATATGTCAAAATGATAAATCTGAAAGAGTGACTTGGGGCAGGGTGGTATCTTGAGTCCTTTGGATTAGTCCAGGCAAGAGATAATGAGTGGAGGCAGAAGACAAAGGCATGAGGTGTTAAAGAGGAAGGATCACTAGGTCTTGGTGACTCACTGGATTAGAGGATGAGTTGTAGGGGGTGATAATGTGTCAAGTAGGAAAAGACTGAAAACTGTTCATTTGGTTCATAAGGGAGGTAATTAGTGCCCTTTAATGAGAGCAGCCTCAGCGGGACAATATGGGTGGGATGCAGTGGGCTGAAGAGTAAACAGGAGGAAAGGCCAGGTGGTGACTAAGAGCAGGCAGTTTTTGAGAAGTTTTTGAGAAGCTTGATGATGAAGTGAATGAAAGAGCATAGGTGAAAGGAGTGATGTGGCTGGGACTTCCCTGGTGGACCGGTGGCTAAGACTCTGTGCTCCTAATGCAGGGGGCCTGGGAACGAGATCCCACATGCTGCAACTAAGAGCTTGTGTGCCACAACTAAAGATCCCACATGACACAACTAAGACCCGGTGCAGCCGAAGAGTACATTCAAAAAAAAGAAAAATAGTAATAAAAAAAGAAGTGATGAGGCTGAAGATGGAACTTTAAGGTGATTTCAGGCCATTAAGTTGATTGGCAGTTTGTTGTGTAGCAGGATATCTCTGATACACTGTGTGTAGGTGTTCGTTATATAAAGTACAAAAATGGGGAAAACTATGCTATTAGAAGTCAGGGTAGTGATGTCTTTTGGTGGGGTGTAGTGAAAAGACGTGCAAAGGAGACTTCCAGAATACTATTCTCTTCAAGTTCCGGATCTGGGCACATGTTATTAATACCCAGAAGTGCTTCTTTGAGAATTCACTGAGCTGTACACATGGGATACATGCACTTTGCTGTGTGAGAAAAAGAAGAGAAGGGGGAAGAGGAAGCGGAGGCAGAGGAAGGAGCGGCTGAGGCCACATGTGCAAAGACTTGGAAATGTATGAGGAGCAGAAAAGTGTTCACTTCGGTGAGAAGCTAGTGCTCAAATGGGGCAGTGGCAGGAGATGAGCTGGTCAGGTGGGCAGAAGCTGCCTGGGAAAGACCTTGTGTCTCAGGTTCAGGGGTTTACCTGTTAGCCAAGGGCAGTGGGGTGCTCCCTAAAAGGGTGACGTGATCTGATTTGCATTTCAAAAGAATCACTAGGGGTGAATGGATTGCAGGGGCAGGGTGAAGGCCAGCAGACAAGTTAGAAACCAATGAAACTCTGGGCAGGGCACGATGTGGCTTGGATGGAGACAGTGGTGGTGGAAATGGGAGAGGCCAACAGACTCGAGAGACGCTATGGAGGAGCATCTCAGGATGTGCTGGCTGACGGGACCAACAGGTGAGAGGATGCGACTAAGAAGTGCTGCCAGGCTTCTGACAGGAGTGCTTGGGTTTGCATGGGGACATTCTCGGAGGTGGGGACACCTGGGAAGGAAAGATAACGGGCTTAATTTGCAGCATGTCGAGTTGGCTGTGAATGTGGGCCATCCAGGTAGGAATGGTCACTGAAAACCCTCTTTGGGACTCAGGAGAGAGGTCACGATGGAGACAAGGATTAGGACGTCTTTTGCGGAATTGGCAGCTGAAGCCTGGGGTGTGAATGAGACCCCGAGCAGGTGTGCAAAGTGTTCTCACCTGCCATTGCAGAGGAGACTCAGAATTTTTACCTTTTTTGTGTTTTGTTCATAAGCCCTGCACACTGATAAACATTCCTCACTTCCTCTGATATGCTGTTATCAGAATATAAATCCATGACAATGCAGTTCGAATTCTTTACCCACTTTGGGGTTGTGGGGCACAAGGGCCAGGGCAGGGGAGACAAAATGTCTCCTTCCTGAATCAGGCTGTGGGCCTTTTACTGACATCACACTCGGTGGTCGGCCCCTGGTGGCCGGCGAGCGTAAGGAGGTCTACGCTGGTAG